TAACTGAATAATGTAGCAAGAACTGAGAAGAATGACTATTCAATATCTTTTGAATTTTGTTTCAGGATCACATGTAAGTGGAAGAGACTTGGTCTATCTGCAGCAACGTCAGAGTCATCCATGGGTATTTTTAGCAACAGAGCTGCAACTAAACTTATTTCAGATAAAATATCAGTAGTAGTCAAAAAATTTCAATAATCCAATGCAACTAACACCATGGATTGTTTTGTAATAAGGACCAGCAAATACTAACAAGGTATCATAGATCAGTGGTTCTCAAACTTTTTGGGCTCCGGAGCCCTTTACATGCGTAAAAATGTATGCGGCATCCCAGTGGTCCACTGATTGTATGTGTTGTACCTATCGATGCTTCCAGTTTGTCAACCTCGCAGAGCCCCTGGAGATGTCTCGCGGAGCCCTGGGACTCTGAGGAGCACAGTTTGAGAAACACTGTCAGATGAAAAGATTGCTCAGTTTGTTTATGCCACAAATTGTCCTTTTTGCATTGTTAACAATAAACACTTGCACTGACACGGTAGAGTCCCTATGACCGTTTCTGGAGATATCTGTTTAGCTTTCTAAGATCCAGTATTGGTCTCCATCCACCTGTCTTCTTTTGTGTGAGGAAATAGTGGGAGTAAAACCCTCTCCCTTTGAACTCGTCTGGATCTCTTTCTACTGCACCTATGGAGAGTAGATGGTTGACCTCGATGCACAGCAACTTCTCATGGGAAGGGTCCCTGAAGAGGGACAGGGTAGGTGGGGTGGGGAGTGGATGGAGAGAAAAGGTATTGTGTAGCTGAATCAAATTATCTCCAAAACCCATTTGTCGGTAGTGATGGCTACCCATTGATGGTAAAAAGTCGGAGACGATGGTGAAATATGTGGGTGGTACGGTGATCCTGCTCGGTGACGGTTTGGATGCTCTAGACTGAGGAGTCAAAGCTGCTGCTTGTTGGCAGGCTGGGGTTGTGTACAGTTATTCTGATTATGGCATCTCTGAGGCCTCTGTTGGGTGCATGACTGGTCAAAGCCCCATTGTTGGTGTTGCCAATGTTGTCTGTTATAACCGTAATCATAATGTCTTTGGTAAGGGGTATAACGCCGTCTCCTATAGGTGGGGTGTACATCCCCAAAGTGTGCAAGGTAGTACGCAAATCCTTATTTATTGGTGCCAGAGATTTGTTTACTCCATCTGCAGCCTGAAACAGTTGAGAGGAACTGGTGGGAGCTGGACCACGCACCTGTGCAAAACAGCGCGAACACTGTCTATGTGTGGACCAGCTGAATACTGCTATGGAAAAGTCTCCGATCTGCAGCACCAGTACAAGCCCAGCACCTATAGTGGAGCACCCACGGAAACATCACTCAAAGAAGATTTGTGTTTTACAAAATGCTTTTTTATTTCTGGTTTGTTTTTTTGTTTTTTAAGAAAAAAAATGCCTATTTGCTTTCAGAAGACTAGGGGAAGAAAATAAGTCTGAATTCATCTTGCAGACAGCTTCACTGACAGCTCTAGCCCAATAGTCTAATCAGAAACTTTGTGGCCAAGATGTTTTAAAGTATGTGGACAAAGCACACATCCTTTTTTTGTATGCACAAAACACTTGATGTGTGCACAGGTTGTAGTCTGCAAATACTGAATTTAGTGTATACTCTTCATGTGTTGCATGTCTATATTTTAAATGTAGGCCTGGGTGTCGATTGATTGATTAGCTGTACAGGAGGTCTCTAGTCTCTTGCTTTCTTGATCTTCATCGCCTCATTAGACTATAAGCCTAACTCAGACCTGGTCTACACTTAGGCTGTGCCTAGACTGGCCCATTTTTCCGGAAAATCAGCCGCTTGAATTTCCGCAAAAGCACTGACTTCCTACTGTAAGAAATCAGTGTTTTTTGCAGAAATACTATGCTGCTCCCGTTCGGGAAAAAAACTTTTGCGCAAAAGGGCCAGTGTAGACAGCTGAGATTTGTTTTGCGCAAAAAGCCCCAATCGCGAAAATGGCGATCGGGGCTTTTTTTCGCAAAAATGCGTCTAGATTGGCCACGGACACATTTCCGCAAAAAGTGCTTTTGCGGAAAAGCATCCATGCCAATCTAGACACTCTTTTCTGAAAATGCTTTTAACGGAAAACTTTTCCGTTAAAAGCATTTCTGGAAAATCATGCCAGTCTAGACGCTACAAGTTTTACAGAGTAACTATTTCAGTTGCAGGAGAAAAGTTGACTAAAATAGATACATTGATTCAAGCCCTAATGTGGATGCAGTTATACCAGTTGGCCATGTCTATACTCGTGGCTTCTTGCACAAGAAATATGCAAATGAGGCTAAGCTGTCTACACTGCCCCTTCTTGCGCAAGAAAAACGCTCTTGCGCAATGCCGTTATTCCTGAAAATAATCCTTTGCTCCCACACTAATGCATTTTCACAGTGTTCCAAGTGATTGTCTATGGATAGGACATTAACATGACTTCAGCTGCAAGCGATAAGAAGGAAGTATAATAAGCCAGCAGATGGCAGCTACGTCCTGGAGAATCAATAGCTGGAGGAGCCCTTTTCTGGCAGAAATGTGTGTGGAGGAGGAGGTTGGTGGAAGGAGGCAGGACAGTGCTGCACTGACTGTGAGTGTGTATGAACCCAAGGACCAGGACTGTGATCGGGGGGCTGAAAGAATTTCTGGGTCCCTAAGCAAGGTGTAGGGGTTGGGAGCTGCATTCCTGGAAGGAGGGAGCCCCAGGTGGAAGGAGCCCAGCCCTCAGTGCTGCCCAGACCACGTCATGCCCCTTTACTGCCCCCACCCCTCTCCCCCAGCCAGCCCAGAGTGTAATGTGTGGAGTTTCCTCAGTGATTTAAAGAGCCCTGGGCTCTGGCCACTGCCACAGTAGCACTGGCATCCAGGAGCCCCAGGCCTTTTTGTATCACTGGGTCCCAGGTTGCCCCTCCCCCCCCACACCCCGACAATGGGCCTGATTATGATGAATGCTGCAAGTCTGGGGCCGGCAGTGAACACTTTGACCTTCCTGGGCCTACTTAGGGGCTATGTTGAACTGCTAGGGTGGAGAGAGGAGTGGAAAGATGCAGTTTTGGGGAGCAATGCCCATTCATGCCTCTCCCAATCTCTGTCCCTGCTGGCAGACCACCTCAGACTACTTCACATCTCACTTTTGGGCTGCAGTCCATCAGCTTGAGAACCCCTGCCTTAGAATACTGGCCAACACAGACAAGTGGAGAGGTTGACACAAACTGATGTTAGAGAAGTGGGATTGTGCACAGGGTGGGGGAGTACCCCACAGGTTAGGCAAGGGACAGTCAGGTTCAGACCAGAGGCAAAGATAAACTGCTTTGTTAATTGTAGAAATTTGTGGGTTTTTGTTAGCTGTTAAGACATTGGAAGGGAAGCAAATACATGATGGGAAGGATGGGATAGCCCTAGTTAGAGGATCATATTCGCCACCAAATAGGGTTACCACTACTCATAATCTGGTATTTGTCAAGAGGTTTGGGTGCTACCTTGGGATACTTAGGTTCTTGTACTCAGAGAAGAAATTTTGAATCCCAATTTTTCCAGCAGGTGTGTGAACTTTTGGAGTGCCCACAGTATGGTTATCACCCTAAATCTGATTCATTGTCTTGACCCAGGGAGAACAGCGTACTAATAAGCATGCTGTTGAATTGCTCAAATAACCAAAGTGAGGGACAATGTTACTCACCTACATTATAATGGCCTATCGGAGCACTGTCCAGTCACCTATGGGATATGCATCCTATACAGTGTTATGGAGGCAGATTTGCCTAGCCCTTGAACTTACATCTGGAGTTGAAGTATGAGAAGAGTTCAGCAATCCATCTGAATATGTCCTACAGGTAACAAGGAACTTGAGTTTTATGAACCAAGATGTCCAAGGCAGCAGGCAAAGGCCACATGACAAACAGCATACCTGACCTCAGGTACACCAAACAGGGGTGGTAGTCAGGAGAGTTGTGTGGGTACAAGACCAGACTAGAAGGGAGGAAAAAAATTAATGATGTCCTTTCAGCTATTGTAAAACTACATGAGGTGCTATTTGAGCTATCTCCAAAGCTGGATGGACAATCTTTTGTGATACATTACTACTGGCAGAAGCCTTCCGTGCATCCCCAGTGCAGGGATGCTGAGCCTACACAGGAACCCGGGGTTACCACCACAGGACAGGAATACTGCCCTGTATTATAGTTTTGCCCCGTTCCATTTCACAACCCCTGCACAATGTTCCTCAGTTATAAAGCCTCACATTAACCTGGTCCAATGACGACGGGGATACTGAGGATCAGTAAATGCTCAGCATGGAATCAGAGCAGGGATCAGCAGGACAGACCCTGTCTCAACTTAAGAGCAGATCACAGTGGGTGTGCAGACTGACCAGATGGCTTCAGGACCATTTTAAAAAGCTTCAGAATGCATATTTTTAAGGGGGGGGACAGGGGATCAGAATAATGTAAGCCAGCAAATAGCACAAAAGAGCATTTAGCAAAGACAAAGAAGAGCAATAGCCTAAAGGGCAAAAAGCTGAAGGATTTCAGGACAGTTGAATAATGATAGAAATGTAGCTGTGTTAGTCTGGTGTAGCTGAAACAAAAAACAGGACTATGTAGACAGCTGATATTTTTAAGGGGGGGGACAGGGGATCAGAATAATGTAAGCCAGCAAATAGCACAAAAGAGCATTTAGCAAAGACAAAGAAGAGCAATAGCCTAAAGGGCAAAAAGCTGAAGGATTTCAGGACAGTTGAATAATGATAGAAATGTAGCTGTGTTAGTCTGGTGTAGCTGAAACAAAAAACAGGACTATGTAGACAGCTGAGAGAGTGTCTTTCAGATCTAGAGTGAAATGTGCCCTAGGCTTTCAGGCTTTTACCATATACCGATGTTGTATGTATCCTGGATACCTATGTCCATGAAATATCTTTGACAAACATCATAAATGCATATGTGAAACAGCATGCAACATAACAGAACACACCATTTCAAGTTATGGTTGATCATTTTGATTTATTGAAAAACTGTGACTATTCTATCCAGGCCACTTCAGACACTTTCAGAGATTTCCTTTTTAAGTAATTTAAAGCAAATGCCAAAACCAGCAATACACAGCACAGGGCCCCATAAGGAGCTACAATCAGGATATTAATGAAGAGCAATTTTTTAAAAATGAAAGTACCAGAACTTATAAATGCAAGAAACTCCCTGAGCCTCGATAAGGAGTAAAACCTCCCGAAAGTATTGCTTTTTTTCTAGCTTATTTACAAAAGAATTCTCTCTCAAGAGCTTAACTGCTAATATTTTCTGTACCATACAGAGGCAGAAGCCAAAAGGAGAAGGGATGGCTTCATGGCTAGGCTTATAGATTGGGACTCTGGAGAACTTCAGCTAAATTCCTGCTCTGCCACAGAAACCCTACAGTCTCCTAGACCTTCACTGCAGCTGCCAATTACAGCTCGAGTCTGAATGAAAATGGAAGTGCACTTGAACTACAAAACTGTTACCTTGGCCCCTCCTCTGCCCGTACTAAACATTTGAGCCTTGTTTTCTAGTCATTACCATTACATACTTCCACCTTTTTCATTGCAGCTTAAAACAAGTAACCGTTACAGAAAGCAGTGTTTTCTTTTATTCCATTTGCTTCTCCCAGCAATCTTTAAGATCAAACAATAAGTAATAATTCTCATCAGTACTTTGATTTTTGGCATACAAGGCCTTACTCTAGTTTTACCTTTGTGTAACTCAAGTGAACTCCAATACAATGCAGTAGTGAATCAAACCCAGAATAGATATGACTCCAAATGGCACTGAAAGCATGCAGTGTTGGCTTGCTTCTTCTTAGAGTACGTTTAGACTACAGGGTTTTGTCGACAGAAGTTTTGTCGACAGTATCTGTCGACATAGAGCGTCTAGACACATTCAGTTCTGTCGACAAAGCAAGCTGCTTTGTCGACAGAACCCTGTAGTCTAGACGCAACCCTACAGGCAATAACACCTTCTGTCAACAGAACTCTGTCGACAGAAGGTGTTATGCCTCATAAAATGAGGTTTACCAGCGTCGACAAAACTGCTGAGCTCTGTCGACGTTATGTCGACAGAACTCAGCGGTAGTGTAGACGCAGGTATAGTTTTGTCAACAAAAGTCCACTTTTGTCCACAAAACTCAGTAGTCTAGACACACCCTTAGAGAACATTAGGCAGAAATTAAACTGACATGTTAATTCTTAAAATATGGCTAACTTAAAATTAAAGCACAAGAGAAAATGGCAAGGCATCTTTGGTTTCTGTGCTGCTAGAGTTAGAATGTCACTGTATTAGCAAAAGCACCAATAAAAGGTTTAGAAATGTCTGCAGTAGAGCCTCAGAGTTACAAATATCAGAGTTTAAGAGCTGATAAATCAAGCACACACCTTATTTGGAAATGGAAGTACACAATCAGGCAGCAGCAAAAACAACCCTATTCATCCCTCCCCACCCCCACCCCCACCCCCAAAAAAGCAAATATGAATTGTGTTAAACAACTATAAAAAAGGAAAGCAGGATTTTTCTTCTGCATATTGTAAAGTTTCAAAGCTGTATTAAGTCAATTTTCAGTTGTAAAGTTTTGAAAGAACAACCATAACATTTTGTGCAGCGTTGAATATGTTTCAATTACGAACAATCTCCAATCCCAAGGTGTTTGTAACTCTGAAATCAAATATACAGTGAAACCTTTGTTATCCGGCACTCTGTTAACCAGAAAACTTTGTTAACCAGCACTGCCCCCAGCCACAATACTGTCACATCTTCAGGCGCACAGGCCTGGCTTGGTTTATCATGATTGGCTTAACAATTTTTTATTTAAGAAGTACTAATCATCTTTAACTCAAAATGGAAATGTGAGACCAACTGCCTCACAGTATAAAACTACCAATATTAAAAACTTGAGTTTTACTATTATTGTCCATTGGTTTTTCCAGGGTTGATGGGATCCTCAGATAACCGGAATTTTTAGATAACCGGAATGCCCTAATCCCCGAGCATGCTGGATAACACAGGTTTTACTGTAGTAGAAACTTCAAATCCATGCCAATATTTTATTCCAGGGCACATGCTCATCTTTTTTACTTTCAGGCTGCTGACATGCAAAGTGGGATAATTTGTCTTTTAAACATCTTATTAAACCTACATGGATTTAAAATTTATCCTCTGAACAAAGGCACACTGTTTTCTGATAGTATTACCAGTAAAATAAGAAAGGAACTATACAGATAAAAGAAATAACACTGTTTACATCAACAGTAGATAGTAATCCAAACCAGTAGTCATTATTGGCATTTTAAAGACATTATAAATAAGGATATATTACTAGTGCCATGACAACACTACACATTCTGAAATAGGCAATTAGTAAACTTTTAACCCACACATCAGGCAGTTTTACAAGTATGTGCTCATCTCGTTTATGATTTCTTTATACATGCGATAAGGTGCGTCGAGACCCCAGATGAAATCCAGATGTTCCCATTCAGGAATGTGTTTGTGGTAAACTAGATTAGTGACTTGAGTGAGCAGCATGGCAATATCATTCACGTCTGCAAGCCAGTCCTGTCCTCCAGTCCAAAGTGCAGTTGGCACGGTCATATCTTTTACTTTGTAGAATGGAGGGGTAGACTACAGTAGGGGAAAAGATCACAAACTTTTAAAAAATGAACGTACGTACGTGTGAGAGAGAGAAAGAGAGAGAGAGAATATCACAAGTGTAAGAGAATAGTAGAAGTCAGAATCCTAGTCTTTCCTGTCTTTGCTCTGGAGCAGCAGTCAATTCAAGAGAAACTGTGACTAACTTCATGTTAAAGCTTCCTCAGTAGAGAAAATGAGGTTTGTGGGTAATACAAGATAATGCTAGCTCATTGATGTATGCAAAGAATCTACCATGTAAAATTTAAATCTCAAACCTACTTTTGTGTGTCACTATTACCCCAAAGGTGAAATACCTACCTACCTACCAACAAGCATTCAGATAGCTAATCTCCATTGCATTGCTCAAGCTAGAATTACTGTAAGGCAGGAGTGGGGAACCTCAGCCCTCAGCTTGCCTGGATCTGGTCCCCGAGGCTCAGCCCTCCCCTCTGCCCCCCAGCATTGCAGAGCTTGTGCTGGTGCTCCAGCCCCCTGCCATCCCCTGGAGGCTGAAACTCACACAATCTACTAAACTGGGCCCCCCTAATCTCTGGTGTGTGAGGGGAATATGTGGGGAGTGTCGTCCTCCTTTTTAGTTGGAGACCACAGTGAGGGTTTTTTCCCCCACTTCTCACTTGTGTGCAGCCCCTGACTGATTTTTCTGTGTATCAGTGGCCCTCCAGCCTAAAAAAGGTTCCCTGCCCCCGTAAGATATTACTTTCACAATAAAGCAAGAGGAGTACATTTTTAATGCTATGCAAAAGGGATCGAGAAAATAATTTGGTAGTCATATGAAGATGCAGGCGGATTTAAGGAGGTTGAAGTTTGGCCAGGACACCTTAATTAACCATATACAACTCTAGTGAGAAATGCAGAGAGATCATTAATGATCAAAAAAGTCAGGCCAAGAGCTGAGCAAACAAGTGATTTTTCAGCTGGACAACCACACCAAAAATTTAAAAATGGTTTGTTTCTAAAGTTTTTTTTCAGGTTCTCTCTAAAGTGAAAAATAAATTTAAAAACAAAATTGTTTCAGCTGAAAATATGTCCTAAACCAAAAAATAAATGTGTATTTTCATTTAATCAATTTTTAAAAATATGTAGCTATATTTCAAAATGAAAAGTTAAAGCACTTCAGAATGGTCAAAATGGAAAAATGGCGACATTTTAAAAATAAATTCTCTCACTTTTGTCTTCAACTTGCCAAATTTGTAAATATTTTCAACATCTCTTAAATGCTTTTTTTGGGGAGGGGAGAAGAGGAGGATGAATTTACTATTCACTGAAACATCTGCAGACAACTCCAATCAGAACCTTGGTTAAGACCTATTTACTGCATCTCTTGCAACAAAACACCCCGTATCATACGGAAGCACTAAATCTGTACTGATTCAGACAACAGTGCTACCTTATGTCTAATAATTTCCTAATGCCTATATGCTTGCATTACAGAAGCAGGTTTCTGCTTAATTTGCGAGGCCTGACATGGTCTCCTGGCAGTTTTACATGTTGTATCTCTCAGGGATAGTAAGACTTTCATTAAAAGTTCTTTACCTGGTTATAGTGAAAAATATTTGCAGCCTTGTTTCCCCAGTCAAAAGCTTTGAGTTCCCCAGATTTAACAGCCTGAAACATATAGTCACACAACAACATGAAGGTCAGTGTTTGCACTCAAACTGTAAATACAAAAAATGAAGGTTAGCTAGAGAAGCATCTTAATCCTATGTAATTAAACTAAAAAAGAACACACACCAGGAAGAGGAGATGTTTTACCTATACAATGTGACTGAGGCTACATCTAAACTGCACTGCTCGTGCAATGATCAAGCAATGCCACATCCAAAGAATGTGTCCACTTTTTCGGAAAATTTTTTGAAAAAGCAGACACATTATTTCGCCATCCCTGTAAACCTCATTTTATGAGGAATAAGGGATGGATCGAAAGATCACTTTTTTTCTGAAATTTGGCACTGTGTAGACACGTCAAATTTCTGAAAAGCTTCTTTTGGCAGTAAAGCGGAAAAAAATATGCAATTTGTGTTTCTTTTTCGACTTACCATTGCAGTGTAGACCTAGCCAAAAATACCTGGAACAAAGGAAAGCCCAACTAATTGTAACTTTTGGGCATGGGAATGGTAGAATGAATATTTTAAAAGAACATTTTGTTTCCACAAGGTGTCTTAGGTCTCACATTTTTACCTATAGACTATGGGCACTCAGAGTCCACAAGGCAGGAGCAGACACCATATCCTGGAATGGAATATACAGTTTGCCAGATTTTCTAAAGGTAAACATCCAAGTGTGCTGGATTTATTACAAATTAAGAACTGAAGACCGGCCATACTGGGTCAGACCAAAAATCCATCCAGCCCAGTATCCTGTCTCCTGACAGTGGCCAAGGCCAGGTGCTCCAGAGGGAGTGAACCGAACAGGTAATGATCAATGCCATCCATCTCTACCCTCTGACAAACAGAGGCTAGGGACACCATTCCTTACCCATACTGGCTAATAGCCATTAATGGACTTAACCTCCATGAATTTATCTAGTTCTATTCTTTTATAGTCCTAGCCTTGTGAGGAAGAACTTTCGCTTATTAGTTTTAAACCTGCTACCCATTAATCTCACTTGATGGCCCCTACTTCTTATATTATGGGAACAAGTAAATAGCTTTTCCTTATTCACTTTCTCCACACCACTCATGATTTTACATACCTCTATCATATCACCCCCTTAGTCTTCTCTTTTCCAAGACAAAAAGTCCTAGTCTCTTTAATCTCTCCTCAGATGGGACTTGTTCCAAACCCCTAATAATTTTAGTTGCCCTTCTCTGAACTTTTTCTAATGCCAGTACATCTTTTTTGAGATGAGGAGACCACATCTGTACACAGTATTCAAGATGTGGGGATACCATGGATTTATATAAGGGCAATATATAAATCTTATTCTCTATCCCTTTTTTAATGATTCCTAACATCCTGTTTGCTTTTTTGACTGTTGCTGCACACTGCATGGACTTCTTCAGAGAACTATCCACAATGACTCCAAGATCTCTTTCCTCATTAGCTGTACCCTTCTCTGAACCTTTTCTAATGCCAGTACATCGTTTTTGAGATGAGGAGACCACATCTGTACACAGTATTACAGATGCGAGCATACCATGGATTTATATAAGGGCAATATATAAATCTTATTCTCTATCCCTTTTTTAATGATTCCTAACATCCTGTTTGCTTTTTTGACTGTTGCTGCACACTGCATGGACTTCTTCAGAGAACTATCCACAATGACTCCAAGATCTCTTTCCTCACTAGCTGTCGTTAAATTAGACCCCATCAGATTGTGTGTATAGTTGGGGTTATTTTTTCCAATGTGCATGAGTTCATATTTATCCACATTCAATTTCATTTGCCATTTTGTTGCCCAATCACTTAATTTTGTGAGATCTTTTTGAAGTTCTTCACAGTCTGCTTTGGTCTTAACTACCTTGAGCAGTTTAGTATCATCTGCAAACTTTGCCACCTCACTGTTTACCCCTTTCTCCAGATCATTTATGAATAAGTTGAATAGGATTGGGCCCCAGGACTGACCCTTGGGGAATACCACTAGTTACCCCTCTCCATTCTGAAAATTTACCATTTATTCTTATTGTTTGTTTCCTGTCTTTTAACCAATTCTCAATCCATGAAAGGTCTTCTCTTTTATCCCATGACAACTTAATTTATGTAAGAGCCTTTGGTGAGGGACCTTGTCAAAGGCTTTTTGGAAATCTAAGTACATTATATGTACTGGATCCCCCTTGTCCATATTTTGTTGACCGCTTCAAAGAACTCATGATTTCCCTTTGCAGAAAGCAAACCGCTTCAAAGAACTCATGATTTCCCTTTGCAGAACGCAAGTTGACTTTTGCCCAACAAATTATGTTCTTCTAGGTGTGAAAATTTTATTCTTTACTATTGTTTCAACTAATTTGCCCGGTATCGACGTTAGACTGACTGGTCTGTAATTCCCAGGATCGCCTCTAGACCCCTTTTAAATATTGTTATTACATTAGCTATCTTCCAGTCATTGGGTACAGAAGCTGTTTTAAAGGATAGGTTACAAACCATAGTTAACAGTTCCGCAATTTCACATTTGAGTTCTTTCAGAACTCTTGGGTGAACACCATCTGGTCCTGGTGTCTTGTTCAAGTTTATCAATTAATTCCAAAACTTCCTCTAATGACACTTCAATCTGTGATAATTCTTCAGATTTGTCACCTACAAAGGCCGGCTCAGGTTTGGGAATCTCCCTAACATCCTCAGCCGTGAAGACTGAAGCAAAGAATTCATTCATTCATTGGGGGTTCTGCATGCACATTAGACTGTATATTACTAGAAAGACTAGCATATACTGGTTCAAACCAGGCTCTCCAGAGACTAGCAGATAAAGGCTACGTCTAGACTTAAGTGTTAAACCAGAAGAAGATATGCTATTTGCAATGCGCAAATTGTGTATCTTTTTCCGATTTACTTTTGAAAGAGGCTTTTCCAAAATTTGGCGCTTCTACAAGGTGCCAAATGTCAGGAAAAAAAATGCTCTTTCGACACATCCCTGCTGTCTTGTAGAACAAGGTTTACAGGGATGGCCAAAGAGTGTGCCCGCTTTTTAAAAGAATGTTTTGAAAAAAACGGATGCATTCCTTGGACACAGCATTGCTTTTCTGGGATACCTCTAGTATCCCAGAAAAGCAATGCAGTCTTAGAGGTAGCCAAAGAAAGGAATCTGGGATAAAATGACTGACTTGATACCAAGTCTTCTTATATCCTTAAGTTGCATCAAGGGAGGTTTAGGTTGGACATTAGGAAAAACTTCCTAACTGTCAGGGTGATTAAACCCTGGAATAAATTGCTTGGGGGGTAGGCGTTATGGACTCTCCATCACTGGAGATATTTAAGAGCAGGTTAGATAGGCATCTATCAGGGATTATCTGGCTCTTGGTCCTGCTGCGAGGGCAGGAGACTGGACTTGATGGCCTCTCAAGGTCCCTTCCAGTTCTAGTGTTCTACGATTCCATGATTCTTTCTAGTCTACCAAATAGACATAACTGATCCAAGGGTGGAGACCCAAATCTTTTAAAATGTTAAAGGACAGAGCCCTTCTAGGATGTGGGGGAGGGGAGAGATAATCTCTGTTAAGATTATTAGCAGGTGTATAGGTTCTTTTAGTTGTTTTCTGTATGTTTTACCTAATGCTTTCACCTTAAAAGTAAATGTGTTTGTTTATACAGGGCTATGTGGTAACTTATAGCTGGGGAAATTAACCTGTTCAAAGCCATTGGAGAGATAGCAAAGCACACACGCAGACCTGTTAAGGCAGTCTGGCTTGCAGGGGAACTCAGTGTAGCAGGGAGCTACAGCATTGAAATACCCTATTCTGAAGGGAAAGATGTGGGTTTCTGCCCAAGAGAGGTGGCCAGCTAAGAAGCTGGAAATCTAGAAGGGGTGCCCTTGCTGATAAATACAGGTACAGCAGCCCTGCTCTGATAAACAAAACAATGAAGTTTTCTTTTAAAACTTGTCTAAGAAATATGAATTTTTAAAGCCAGCTTTCTTTATGAGCCTCTTTCCGCTTCATTCCATGTCCCATATCTAACCCATGGAAGCTCAACTTAAATTTCTAGACCAACATGCGCTTTGTGTGGACAACCAGGTTGACTCTAAGACTGTATCTCACTTTGAGTCACCTATGCAGAAACCAGGTTGACTCTAAGACTGTATCTCAGTCACCTATGCAGAGAGCAGCAGCTGCGGATTCCATGAAAAATCTCTCTCCCTCAGCATAGGGATATGGTACTTGCTTTCTAGCACTGAGATACAACAGCACCACAACCACTTAAAAGAACTGAAAGTATATAGATTGCAAAGTGTTAAAAAAAAGCCTAAATATGCACAATTTGTCCATTGGTTCTGCTACAGTATGTAGTTAGAGCTCATGGTCAGAAACCAAGGTTAATGAAGGAGAAACAAATGTTTATTGTAGCAACACTATCTCTGACATGCTAGTTTTAAATGCAGACAGGATTACTGTCTACTGATCTGGATCACCTATTATTTTGCACTTATGCAAAAACATGCTGCATCTAAGGGAGGGGGATTTTTAAAATTAAAATAGTAGAGATTAACATATGTTGTTCTTTCTCCCTAGTAGTCCCAAAGTCTTATCCAAGTTGTGCTAACATAAGATTGTTTTGACATTTCACCCCATTTCAGTGACAGCAGTATTTTATAAACATAAATTAGGTTAACAGGCACTTTAGATTTCAAAAGTTCTACCTGACTCCAGTGGAGCATATTTTGTACAGATGTCCCAGCAGGGCAGTGTGTTGAATACACGTCTACTCGGCTCTGAAACAGCAACATAGTAATTACAATTTTCATCTATTAATGTGTATCTGCTCCATTCTTTACTGGGTTTTTTTTGCATAACAAAACAGTAAGTTTAAAAAATAAAAAGTTCTTTTCAGAAAGTTTCAGAGTAGACTAGTATAAACAAACTAGGTAAAATGCTTAAGTCATGGAGAATATTTGACATTAATTATCACTGTGTACTTAGTTTAGTTTAAACTAAAGTTCATATTTTACTATAACATTGCCTTTTCTTTAAAAAAAACATACTAAATCTGACTAGGAATATTTCAGTGTTTTGCGCTGAGTTTTTTCCAAGGGTGGGGGCGGGGGGGAGGAGGAAGGGACGTTTATTGTTTTGCTCTGAGTTTTTTCCAAGGGTGGGGGGGAGGGGAAGGAGGAAGGGACATAAGCTTTCTCCAAATATATTGAGAAAAAACAAGAAAACAATGTTACTCAAGTTAATTAAAACTACTAGATGCAAAAGTGAAACTAGCTACTCTAACTTTGTTTCCCTTCTGAATGAAATGCAAAAATAAAATAAAGCATAGATGTTGAAAAGTAAACTAAATTTAGAAAAAAACGCTTCAGATTTAATATTCCATGGTGTCCTTAATACTGTGATTTTTTTCATAACATTGACTTTAAACTTGATAATGTTATGCATGAATCAGTTTTATATTAATGCACAAGTTCAAAAGTCCTATTGTTAACAAAAGTATGCCAAGTATTTCTAGGTTAAAAATGCCTCCCTACACTATGCTAGTTTTAACCAATAATTCAGCTATTTTTGCTATGTAAGCTTTTGCTCCAAATAAGCATCATGTACATTCAGTTAAAAAAAAAAAACCCACAACCTGAATTTCTTCTGAAAGCTGAATCCTCAGGCAGGTTAACATATCATCCATATCTAGAACAATGGAATATTGTGTGCAGGGAGAGGAAAATTCTGCCTATAAAAATCAGCATTTTTTCCTATTTCATATAAATTATGCCAACTTCAAATTTTCAGGTGAAATTCTGGCCCTTCTGAAGTTAATGATAAGAAGTCAATTGGGCCAAGTTTCACCAGGAAGATTTGTCCAAACCTTTAGGAAGAAGAAATAATTTTGCAGGTTTTTCCACTATATTTTAGTGAAGTTGCATGGAAAAGCAAAAACCCATCAATGAAAGTTTTGTTGTGAATATTTTGTAATCTTTCCTATATGAGAATGTCCCTATTTCATTGCTCCTTTAGGTGGCTTGACCCAACAGAATGGCCCATCGAATTTGAATCCTCTCTCCCTAAACCCAAAGCTCCATATTCTAGGATTTAGTAGACAATTATGTCCTGATTACTGCACCCAGCTTACTGAGTTACGCCACAAACAGACTCTAAAAAGAGTCAAGCATAGAATCCCACATCATTTTCTGTCACAGATGTCCACAGTAACAGAGAGATGTTCTGCTATTTGGTGTTTCTGTGTGTTTGTTGTTTAAACAAAAACCCAGCTCTGGAAACTCAAACCCTGAGACTAGAAATTTCACGCTGGGTTATTTCTTTCTGAGACTTTATCACTATTCATCTTGCTCATGTTCTGCCCACTGAGTACAAAAATATTTTCAATCCGTTTTTAAAATTTAGTTCCATGTATCATCAACTAGAGTCTGTGAAGTTGGACTCATATGTAGAAGAAGAAAAGATACTTATTCAATCTTTCAAGAACTAGAACGGGGTGGGCAAAAGGGCCTCTGCAGGCTGGATCTGGCTTGCAAAATGGGTTGATCCAGCCCACAGAGGTCCTGCCACTCCCCCGCCCCCAGGCCAATCAGGGCTTAGGGATGGGGGAGCATGTGGTGCTTAGAGTCAACCAGTGTTCCCACTAAGCTGCACGCCTATGCGGTTGCATGCTAAAAATGTTAGGTCCACCCATGTCATTTTAAGAGCCGTGCAGCAGCTAGAACAGAAGGTGAGTGGTGGCGACAGCAGCTAGTGGTTTGGTGGAATCCTGGCAGATGGCAGCTGCCCTTTTGCTCCGCTAAGAGCAATGGCGTGTGAGGTGAGGCTCTTCCTATAAGACTGCCCCAGGTGGAACAAGCCTCATGCAGTTGCCGCTTTATTCCAGCTGAGGCCAGGGTGACCCGCGGTACTATTTTTAGTACTGAGGTCCCATGGGGACCAAGACCACAGTACTAAAAATAGCACCGCAGACAGCTTCTGCTCCAGTCCTGGCACATGGTCCTGTCGCTGAGGTCCCATGGGGACCAAGGCGGGGGCTTTTGGGGCCGGGACTGCAGTACTAAAAATAGCACCGCAGACAGCTTCTGCTCCAGTCCTGGCACATGGTCCTGTCGCTGGAGCAGCTGGGCCAGGGCTGCGGGGGCTTTTGGGGCCGGAACTGCGGTACTAAAAATAGTACTTCAGCCACAGCTCCAGCCCCCACAAACTGCTTTCCATGCTGGAGGCAGAAGGTGAGGGAAAGAACAGGAGGAAGTGGGGGAGAGGAGAGGAAGGGGCTTGTGCTGAGGGGAGGTGGGCTGGGGCAGGCACTAAGGGGCAGGGTAGAGAAGAGACAAATGCCAGGGGACCAAGAGGAGACAATGAGGAAAAGGGCAGGAGTGGAGGAAAGGTATCAGTGGGGATGGGAGAAGGGAAGGGACAGGGTGATGTTAGGAGAGGAAAGGGGAGGAACAATGGGGGCAAGAGAAGAGGGGAGACGTGAGTACGAGGAGAAGAGAGGTTGAAAGAAAGGATGGGCATGAGGAAGGCAGTGGATGGAGTAAGTCATATGTGAGGATCCAGAGGGGCATGAGGAGAACTGGGGCAGAAGGTGGTGAGGGGATGGGCACCAGGGAGAAAGAGGGCAAGGGTAGTGAGGGAAGGGGGAGAAACCAGGAAGGTGCAGGGGTAAAAGAAGGTGCAGGTGAGAGGGGTATCATGGGGATGAAGCAGAAGGACAGACACGTGGAAGGAAGGGACGGGCACCAGAGGACAGAGGCAGGGCAAGTGGGTAGAGGGAGGAGTTAGGAGAGGAGATGGGGAGGGGTAGCTACAGGTGATCAGAGTGGGGCTAGAGGAGGAGTGGACACAAGAGAGAACGGGTGGGGGGTGAGAGCAGGTCCACAAAGGACTGAGGGGAGTGAAAAAGCAGGAGCCAGGACAGCAGAGGAGGGTGAAGAGTGGGGAGCATGAGGCACCAAGGAAGTAGATGGGGCAAGGGAAGGGTAGGAGACTTGGCAACAGAGGGAAAAGGTAAAGGTTTATAAGATATTTATTAATAACTTGGGTGCCACAGTGGCACATCCAAACAAGTGCACGTGGACTCAATACTGGTGCACTAGACAAAACTCACTCCGTTCATGGGTGGAAAATCTTAGCAGGAACACTGGAGTCAACCTGTCACATCCTGGAGGGCAGGGAGCGAGATACTGGGAATGCCTAGATTACATGGCTCTGTCAATGGAGCCATGTAGATGAGTTTACTAGACATAGGAAACTGAAGCAGCGATTTAAATAATCGCCGCCTCATTTACATCAAAATGGCCGCTGCGCTGTGCCGATCGGCTGTTTGGCAGCACAGCGGGGCAGTCTGGACGTGCCACGGTTGACAAGGGAAGCCTTTGTCGACCGCTCCGGTATACCTCGTGAAATTAGGTTTGCCGAAGCGGTCGACAAAGGCTTCCCTTGTTGACTGCGGCGTATCCAGACTGCTAATAATAGGATTAAATAGAATTCCTTGACTTGAACACCTTGTTTCAGCTGTAAAAATCAGCTCAATTGCTGTGATTGCATATTGTGCATCTTTTTGTTTTGCAGATAGGGTGCATAATGAAGAGCCAGCTCTTTCTTTGTTATACTCCATGTTTGTATTTTGTAGGTGGGTGGAGGAATATAAACAGCTCCTAGTGATACATGTGCAAGGGCTAATACAGAGGGCTCTGGATGGCAAGGATCAAGCTGTTCATAATAGAGAACTTCAAAACAAATGTGTAACATATGATAATCAGAAGTTCATCTGAACTGCGCAAGGGGCTTGGCACTTAGAATCATCTTGCAGTTGCTTTTCAGAAGACTTAATGTGGTCCTCCCACCCCTGGGCCCTGATTGCGCTGCCAGTTCTCCTGTGGGAGGCAGGGGTGAAGATTTCACGTGCACCCCCACCCATAGATCAATCAGAGTCTGTGGGCAGGGTAGCATGCACGTGTTCTGGTCCCCCCAACACCACCCCACCTGAGGCCATGCCTCTTCAGGGGTGGCCTGGGGCCACTTCAAAAATTTCTGAAGTGGCCCCCGGTCAAAAATTATTGCCCACCCCTGAACTAGAAGGTATTAAACTTTTTTAAACTCACATATGTATACAACTACATTTAGATTGTAGTTTATACGCTTTAAATTTCACAAGATGCTAATTGCTAAGTGTATACAGAACATACCATGTTTAAGTTTTTCTCATCAAAGCCACATATAAGAAAGAAGAAATTGCCACAAAGGTCATCGAGTAATCTGTGGGTACAAACATGCATGGCAAGCCACTTCAGCAATGAATTCTGAGGAAGGAATTGCTTCTTTCCAAACATGTCCTGCAAAAGAATAAGCCCACACATGTAAAAACAGAAGGCTATTTGCTTTTGCTCATACAGTAGCCTTCTTCAGATAGTTTACTTCAATTCAGAAAATAAGGATAATGTAATGCTCACATGCTTTTAGTGTTTCGCCTAGATCAGTGGTTCTCAAACTTTTTGGCCTGCGGCCCACGCCACTCAACACAAGCCTTTTTGCAGATCGCCAGACAACCACCCAAAATAACAAAATGGGTGCTGGAGCAGGCTGAGGGTGGGGAGGAGGTTTATCCAGGAGGGAGGGCGTGGGATCTGGGCATGAAGGGCACTTACCTCCCATGCCTCCCACTGCTCCCAGGCTCCATTCTCCCATTGCTGCCATTGACCACGATTCTGGTTAGTGGAAGCGAAGGGGGAAGCCTCCTGGGGAGTGGTTTCCTGTACTGTCATTCTCCCAGCTGGGGTGGGAAAAGGGAGGAGGGGCTGCAGCAGTACTCGGAGCTGCTTCCTCTCCCCGACTGGCCAGATCCAGCCTGTAAGGTTTGGGACTCCTCCCCACCCCACCCCAGCAGAAAGCCGGTGCTAGCATTCCAACCATGCACGGGAGGTGAGGGGTTGGAGCGCCAGCAAAGGCTTCTCCACTGCAGAGGGGGGAGCTCCGAGCCCAGGGCCCTCCTGAAAGACTGTTGCAGACCACTACGGGTCCATGGAACACACTTTGAGAATTACTGGCCTAGATCGTTAATCTGAAATAAAATATATAAATCAGGAACTTTGGTATCAAGTTAAAAATATTATGGGCTGTCAAGCAATTAAAAAATAGCTATTAAACATGCTATTAAAAATTCCTGATTAAACACTAACAAAATACCATTTAAATATTTTGAATGTTTTCTACCTTTTCAAATGCTTTTATTTCAATTACACCAGAGATTACAGTATACAGTACTCACTTTATTTTTTTTTTTACAAACATTTGCACTGTAAAAACCAAAATAGTATTTTCAATTCTCCCATTACAAGTACTATAGAGCAATCTCTTTATCACGAAAGCTGAACTTACAAAAGAACTATGTACAAAAAAATCCCCTGCATTCAAAAATAAAAACGTAAAACTTTAGGCCTACAAGACCATTCAGTCTGACTTCTTGTCCATACAAACAAGATTTTTTTACATTTGCAGGACATATTGCTGCTCACTTCTTGTTTACAATGCCATGTGAAAATGAACATGTGTTCGTATGGCTTTGTTGTAGCCAGCAATGCAAAATATCCCAGTTCCAGATGTGCTGAAGATTCATATGTCCCGTCACACTTCAGCCATTCCAGAGGACATGCATCAGCTCTGCTAACAAGTTCTACCAAAGTTGGGCAGGCCAACCATGTTTATTTTCATCATCTGAGTCAGGTGCCAGCTGCAGAAGGTTGCTTTTCTTTTTTGTTGGTTCAGATTCTGTAGTTTCTGCATCAGAGTATGATCTTTGAAGAGTACTGAAATCATGTACCACATCCTGTCCCTCAGAGTTTGGAAGGCACTTCAGATTCTAAAATTTTAGGTCAAGTGCTACTGCTATCTTTAGAAATCTCATTTTGGCACCTTTCTTGTGTTTTCTCAAATCTGCAGGGAAAGTGTTCTTAAAATGAACATGTGCAGGGTCATCAGCCAAGATTTCAGATGTAAGGCAGAATAGTGGGTGAAACAGAGCAGGACCCATACAATTCTCCCTCAAAAAGTTGAGTCACAAATGTAAACACTTTTTTTTTTTTTTTAAATGAGCATTATCAGAATGAAAGGATGTCCTCTGGGACGGTAGCTAAAGTACAAATGGCATATGAATGTTTAGCATATCTGGCACCTTGCAAGGCCAACTATAAAAGTGCTAAGGGAAGGCCTATTCTCACTCTCAGGTGACTTTGTAAATAAGCAGGCAGCATTATCTCCTGCAAATGTAAACAAAATTCTCTTAATTAGCTGAAGAAACAGAAATGGATGGACTTACAAGCTTTAAAGTTTTATAGTGTTTTGGTTTTGAGTGCAGTTATGTAACAATCTATATTTGTAAGAAGCACTTTCACGATACAGAGATTGCATTATAGTACCTGTATGAGGTCAACTGAAAAATACTATTTATCATTTTCACAGTTCAAATATTTGTAATAAAAATAATATAATGTGAGCGCTGTAGACACTGTATTCTGTGTTGTAAATGAAAAATGTAAAAAACATCAAATAAATGTTAATTGGTATTCTACTGTTTAACAGTATGATTTAAAACTTTGATTAACTGCAATTTTTATATCACAGTTAATTTTGAGTTAATCCCATGAGTTAACTGCAATTAATCAACAACCCTATACAATATTCATGGTTACCCAAAGAAAATCCATGACAATTCCAACTTTTAATTGATCTTATCAGTTTTGTATCCATGGGCATGTCAGATTTCTGCTAAAAGCTAAATATTTTAAACTGATTTTTGTTTAGGTTGAGAGGTTTGATATCTGCAGCTTCCTCAATTCAAACTATTTGAATAAAACCAAGCTTGCATTGTGGTGGCAGCTTCCTCTTGCAAGACATTATTTTTAAACAGTTCAAGAGTTTGAATATGATCTAGGGATAGTGCATTTTACTCTCACTGACACAGCACAAAGTCTATGACACATCCACTAGTTTGTGGTTAACTGGGTGGTTCCACAATAGCTTATTGTGCAAGTCACCATGACTGGATCAAGTTTCACAGTCTGATGTAAACAGGTGCATTCTTCTATAAATAAAAACTTCTTAACTGGGGGGATACTGTCTATTATTCTAACTAAGCAGCCATTCTCACTATGAGAAGAGGGGCAGCCAGGCAGGTGTTATTCAATCTCATCTTTATCTGCCTGAGGGGAGCCAGCAGCAGTTATGATACATAAAAGCAGTGCTTTTTTTGTACAAAAAGAGGTGCCAGTACTCCAGGGGAAAAGTTGTTGAGCTCTGACTGGAGTTGCCGTCCTGCATAAAAGTATCTATTCAAGGTATGTCATGTGGCTAGAAAAGGTACATTATACCTATCAGAGACACACTTCCAACATTTAAAATCTAGTCTCCCATAACTCACATAGCTCCCCTTCCTTCTCTTACCAAAGGATAGCTAGATGGAAGGATATGAACAGCACTGCTCCCATAAAGAGCACTTTTTAACATCTAGTAAACATCTTCATTGTATCCTACTTGTTTCCTCTCACTTTGTTTGGCAATTTGTGTGAAAAATAAGAATTTAGAATTTCAAGTCTGAAAAAGCATTTTTTTCCAATGGAAAAAAATCTATATGAAGACTGAAGTACACAGATATGATTGCTAAATAAGTCTAAAGAAACTGATGACAGATGAAAAATATTCTATATAAAGGCAGAAAGGATACCGCATGATTCTGCTAAAATTGACCAGCCTGTAAGTTAATCATGACTTTTTTGGCAACACGAGCGCTAGAATCATGTGCAAATGAGTAAATATCACACTGATTTTTTCAGGTCAGGTCAAGCCCTATTTAATATGGTACATTGTAAGTTCTAAATTCCCCCTAGCTTCTCCTGTCACGTATTTAGATTTCTCAGCTTCTTGGTTCAAATCTTCCATTTTTAAGGCTCTCTAGACACTTGTGGATGGTACAAAAAAGATAAATATTTAAGTTTTTTAGATAGCACATGATGCAGCAACATAAAAACAAATGTTTTTTTCACATTCTTATTCACTTTTTTCCAGTGGGGAACATGAGGTGCAACTGGGCAGCATCAAATGCATTTTGTAGTGACTGAGCCTAATTCTCCTCATAATTACTCAAGTGTCAGAAAGGTAGCCGTGTTAGTCTGAATTTGCAAAAGTGGCGAGGAGTCCTGTGGCACCTTATAGACTAACTGAAGCGTAGGAGCATAAGATTTCGTGGGCTGACGAAGTGGGTCTTTGCCCACGAAATCTTATGCTCCTACGCTTCAGTTAGTCTATAAGGTGCCACAGGACTCCTCGCTATAATTACTCAGTTATCAATATGAAAATCATTAGAGCAACTATGGACATAAACTGATACAATATCAAAATTTGGCTTAGAACTCTTGTTGCATGTGTGTACCTTATGTGCAAATGTTTACACAGCAAGAGAAGCACATTCATATGAATTAAGCCTGCATTCAATATCATTTATATTCTCCACTAAAGCCCAATTTAAATGGAAAAGAAATAATCTTACTTGGGTTTAAAACAAATATCTTGACTGAAATACATACTTTAAGCAACAGTTCTGGAAGCACTCCAAGTTTTGTCAGCGGGCTAGTGGAGAACTTGATTGTAGCTACAGGTGCCAATGCAAAAAACATTTTTATTTTTTTAGCCAGCTCTGGCATAGTTGAAAATGCAATGAAACCTATAAAAAAATTAGACTGGTTAATAGGACAACATTTGACAGAAATTCACATCAGAATTTTAGCTAAGCATGTTTTCATTATAAAATGTAGCATGTTTTAAGTTCTGAATTTGGAACTTATATAGGTGTTTAAAGAAGAATTTGAATTAGCATCAGTCCTATATTCTTTAAATGCAGGTTTGGTTAATTAATGGTTCACCTGAGCATCACTTAGATTTTTTTATGAAATGATTAATTATTTTTTTCCCATGTACATTTTTAAAACTCTCTAAAACATCTGTTTATATAAACGAAATGAATAATGTAGTCTACTAGCTTAGCATACTTTTTTACAGCTTTTCATTTCAAATGAATACGTGAAAATAAATTCTCTACATTTTAGCTCTAATGAGAATGCAAAACAAAATGTACTCAAATTTATATTTTATCATTATTTAACCAAAAGTGTGATAATCTATATCTTTTAAAACAAAGTATTTAAATCTCTTCACATACCTATAGTAGTACCCTGTGAATGGCCAACGTAACAGATTTTCTCCTGGCCAGTTTTATTCACAATGAAGTTTATAGTGGCAGGAAGGTCATATTTAGCCATTTCATCAAAACTACAGTACAAAGACAAAAAGGCAATTGTATAAATAAAGTTATAAAATTTCTGTATCAATGTATACAATGTAGAACTGATGAATGGAACTTTATATTCATTCACAGCTGACCTATCTTCAATGTACTCAACTTCCAAAGGATGTTTCTGAACAACCAGACTCTGACCAAGATTAACTTAGGTCTTGATCCTGCACCACTGAAGTCAACGGGAATTTTCTCGTTGATTTCAATGAAGGCAAGGTCAGGTCATTATGGCAAATTGATAGTTCCCCATATTGTTAACATATTATCACATATATAACCAAGATAAAAAATTATTGTGGCACACACTTGTTTAAATCTATTACTGAAGAGGGGTTGTAGATAAAGCAGGGTAAAATTTTTCATATTTGATTTTTTAAAAATGACCAAAGGAACTTCAGGAGGAATGGGAGAATCCTCCTTCACAGGCTTTATCTCAGCAGCTAGGGCATTGTCCCAAGACATGAGGGACTCAGCTTCAAACCTCTGCTTTGGAGCAGCAACTGGAACCGTTAGCTTCCTTCACATCCCAGGAGATTACACGACCACCCCATTATGAACTACTGAGGCAGGTCTCTCAATTTCGCCTCCTGATGCTTTCCCAGTTTATATAAAAGCACATATATAGCCATTGGGCCAGACAGAAGCAGGAGAGAGAATGACTATATCCCAGTGATCAGAGCACTCTCCTGGCGGCATAGGGAGGGGGACTTTGATTCAAATCCCTACTTAGTACCAGGGATTCAAACCTGAGTCTCCCATATTCCAAGTGAATACCCTGACCACCGGGCTAAGGAGGGAAAACCCTACTGCCTCAGCTGTGAATAAAAGTCCTTCCATTTCCTTTTGATTTTATTTTTTAAATGTCTGTAAACAAAATGTTTCATTCAATCCAAAAGGACATTTTCCCTACTTTTTCAATTCATCAAAAATTCCAAATTTTGTTTTAGTTAGACCCAAGCCAACCTGCACCCTCCTGCCTCTCAGAATAGTCAGCACCCCCCCCCCAAAAAATCAGTGATCAGCACAGAGCTAGTACTGGAGGCATGGCATCACAGAGGAGATGGGGAAGGAGAGGAGAGGTTCTGGTGACAGCATATATGACACGTAATAACATCACTCCTCAAAAATGAGATCCAGCTACCTGAAAATCCAGAATTCCTCTTGCTTTTCTGTAAAGCGTTTATGCTTTCTGCACCAAGTATTCCCCCTGCTGTTTCCCATCCAAACATCATATCCAGCATCTGCCAGCATAAAGCCTAGGCTGTTGTATTCCAAATTGGTGATCCAGTTACTAGCATCTGCAAGTAAACCATGTTGCAGAAAAACAACAGGCTTGGGACCTGAAAAATAAAGCACTTTACATAGTTAAAACTCAAAGATTCATATTCTCCTTTGAACACTGAACACCTGACAAATTCTACTGAATAGTCGATATTTCCTTCATATCTATATTTGAGTGGTTAACCAACCTATGGGCTGTATGATTAGCAGTCTTTATGATACTCAGGAGATCTTAAATTCATGCACTGTAATCTTCCACAATAGCAGGTTTTTAAAAGCGTTATTTTATTGCAGCTATGGATTAGGTACTTATCTAGAGCAAAAGGCAACTAGTATTTCACACACACACAAAAGCAGGCTTGCATCAAGCAAACCCAAGAAAAAGAGGAACTACAGTTAGAAGAGAGCTATTTGTACCCAGTGTTTATAATTTCTGCAAGATAAGAGGACAGATCCTAGAGGTATGCTAGATTTTCTTCACTGCCCTTGCTCCCCTTCCCCTAAGCATTCCCATAGGTGGACTTAAGGAATTAGACTTTGTACACTATGACAATAATAAACATGTCATACACAACTGCAATTAATCCTATTCACATTAATCAGATATTGCAAAAAAACCATTATGAAATATATGTACTATGAATTCTGACACAGCAGTAAATAAACACTGTTTGGGAAGTTATACCAGATCTGTAACAGCTTGAAGTCAATATGAACTTTAAAATCCGCAATCTTATAGAGAGAAATATTGCTAGTAATCCTTGATTTTAAAAATTAAGTGTTTTACAAAACATTAACTTTGACATTGCTTCCTCCTCCACCACAACACTCCTAAGAATAATATTTCCTGTCTCAATTTGCTTATTATTACTGATGAAAGATTCACTAAAAAACCTACAGATGCATCACCTATCTTCTCTTGTGGATTTCTCAAGATTTTTTAAGCACAAATATGAAATCTAACTAATCCGACTAGCTTGCATCACGTACCAAACTGTCTGTCCCTATGCTCTTTGAAATAGTCGTTAGAGCAAACATGATTAAGAGAGATCAAATCAAACATTAAGGACAGACAGATTTTTTGCCTTTGGCAGAAAAGTGTCTTTTGGCATAGTATGTGTTCACACCTGCCATTATAGGATACTTGCATTTTGCCCCTCCATAAGATACATATGTATGCATCACACATCTTCAGCTTTTTAAGTTCAATTGATTCAGACTCTAAACTCTACACAATATAAGTGTACAATTCCCTTTGAAATAAACAGATGCATGCATGCCTTAGGGGACAGAATTTACCACAAGAGACAGTAAACATATATCCTGGCTGAATTCATCCTTTGTTGTTCAGATTTACAAGTGTATTAGTACAGCAGATCTAAGACTTTTTCCTGCAAATGTTTCTCTTCTTCCACATACATTTTAATCTTATTTTCAAAACATTTCAGAGCTTAGTCCTTGCCAGTACCTTTGTCCTCATTCCCTCCTATACACTCTCTCACCCTTTACACTTCTCCAAATCTTCTATTTTGAAAATTCCCTGGTCTCCTCTTTTGATTTCCCCGCTCCTAAAGTTATGCCTTCTTTCATGCCACTTCTTATACTGTGGACATCCTCCTGTTTAGTATATGGCAATCACTCTCCTTCCCTGTCAAACAACTTCTGTTGAGGAAACATGCAACAACAGCGACTTGGCCCTCCATCTTGGAGTTGGTTATTTCAAGCTGAATTGCACTCATTTGTCTTGGAACAAGATATTTTTTATTATTACAGCATTTTATATATGGTAAATAGCTATGCACAATATGGTGCTATTTTAATTACTTTGCTTTATAGTTTAAAACAAAGACAAGGAGAATAGTTAGTTAAAAACTGAAATTAAGTGTTAGTCTAATTCTCATTTCCATACAGCGGGCCAGAGCCAGCCCACCAAGCCACCAGGTCTGGCCCACAGACACGGGGGGAGCCCCAGGCAGGCTCCTTGCTTATCTCGCCTCACCCACCCACCACTCAGAAAAGTAGCTGCCACGCTGTTTGAGTTTCTCAGCTGTGAGCCAGGGGAGGAGGGAGAGGCTTCATGAGCTGTTCCTACCCAAGCACAATCCCATTGGCCAGTTTCTGGTAAATGGGAACTGCCCATTTGAATAACAGGCAGTACATGAAGCACCACTCTTCACAGGCTCCTACTTATTCACATACACACATGGCCATTGCACCCTGTGCGGGGGCAGGGCAGCCTCAGAAACTTGCTAGGTTGCTGACTGGGAGTCACCCAGGTAAATCCCCTGGTCAGAGGCTGCGTCTGGAACCCTAGCCCCTCTCTCCTCCAACCCTCTTCCCCCATACTCCTGCTCCCTTACCCTGCATAACCCAAACCCTCTGCCCCCTTCCAGCATCCAAACACCCTCTCAGAACCTGCACCCCAGTACTCTGCCCCAGGATCCAACCCCCTCCTGCCGTAGGTCCTAACCCAAACTCCTGCACCCCAGTCCAGTGCTCCAGCTTACAACTGCCTCCTTCACGCAAACTCCCTCCCGCATCCTAATCCCTTACCTCAAGCTCCCTTCCACACCCAACCTCCATCCTAGACCCCACATCTCCTCCATTCAGATCATGGAAGAGTGCAGCCCTCAACCATTTTCCAAAATCTTGGAATGCCCTCACCCATCAAAAATTAGTGCCCACTCCTGCCATACAGAAATCAAAAGAGCAGTAGGGTGTTTTGTTTGTTTGTTTTTAGGGAGGAGAAGTATCTTTCTAGTTTGTTTTCAACAGTAGAGGAACAAGACCTGCCCCTACCTTTAGTGTTGGTCAAATTTTTAAAACAAACTTTATATAAAAATAGAAATATTTTGCAACAAAACAGAATTAAACACATTCTTACTTTTTTTTAAAAGAAAAAAATATTACCATTTATCAAAAAAATGAGGTTTTCAGTAAGTGTAAAATTTCAACATAAAAGGAAGAGTCTGTTTTAGAGCCTATAAAACACAAACTACTTCAAAATTTTGATTGGGGGGGAGAGAGAATATTTCACCCACATAATCTACCCATATTCTAATTATTGTTTTCCACATAGGTTACCAACATTTTTTCCTAGTCAGGATTATTACAAAAGTCACCTCTCTAAATTGAAGTGATTTTTTTCCCCCCAAGACTTCTTTTTCTTCAAGCAGAAGTAAATCTTACCCTTATTACTCCCATGGTTTTTCTTCCCATGGGGAATTCTGTTAATGCTAAGGATATACCCATCTTCAGCTGGGAACTACACACAAGAGAGAAGCGAAAAAAAAAAAAAAAAAAAAAAAAAAAGGGAGGGGGGAAGCTTTTGGTTGAAACTGTTGACATTTTTAATTCATTAATGTCTGTAAAGTGCTTGGAGGTCCCTCCACAGACAATATATGGAGACACCACACTTCCATGTCTGGTAAGCGTTAGAGACACACAAGTAGGAAAAAGGTTTGTTACTTGGCAGTGATGCATTTTCTACTACCTGTGTTTCAGAGAAACAAATGAGAATTAGGCACCCAACTCCCATTGACTTTCTATAGGAGTTGGACACCTAACAAATCTTGGTGTCTTAGAACAGTGTTTCTCAACCAGTGGTACAAGCTCCCTTAGGGGTACTCGAGAGGAGTCTGGGGGGTACGTCAACACAACTGGAGAAAACTGAATTTTTTATTTAAGTTTTACAACTCTATTATTTTTGTACTTTTTACACCCAAAAATTTAATCACAACCCAGCTACAATTAAATTGTTTAAACAAATGTGTTACAATAGAAGAAAAAAAATTGTGTCTGAAAACTGTAGGTACTGGGGATACTTTTTTTAAAGGGGTACTTTATAAAAAACGGTTGAGAAACACTGCCTTAGAAAACTCTCTATCTGTCTCAATGATCAACCTCTACAAAGAGGGAGCTCTAAAGTTCTAATATGTATTTCAGGCTAAAGCTGGTAGTCTGTGTTTTCACTCTAAAGAAGACACATCAGTTCTCTCATCTGCCACTAACCAGGAGAAATTAGAGTGTTGAAAAAGGAGGCAGGGGAAAGAAGCTCAGAAACAACAGGGTAAAGGAGGAAAAGACTGAAGTGAAAGAGTGAAGAACTGACAGACAATGCCTAATGTAAGTGGAAACAGCACATCTGTCAACAGCAGACTAGTGATATCACCAAAAATTGAGCTTCCATGGCAGACAGGGAGATACATCTCTCTTCTAATGGGGGAGATTTTTAAAACCTTTCAAATATTAGAATCACGATCCTCATCCCTATTTATCACACATGGAACTCAATCCCATTTAAATAAATAATCTAAATGCCCACAACACAGAGGGTTTGACACAAAATGTTGTGTAACACTGGCTTCAATAAAGTCATTTATATTATGACTTAATCATCACAGCAAGAATAGGAAAGTTTTACACACTGTTCACTTGCTTGGGTGATGGCTTTTAATGCCACATATCCTACAATGAAATAGGGCTATTAAATACGATCTTTTCTAAACATTCACTTCTGTTTATCACCCACAAGTGAGTTAATTCAAACCTTTAAAAAATTAGCAGAACTATGAAGGTATACAAATGCCTTATCAGTACAATTGCATGATCTTGTTGGCAATAAACATTTTTAAAACATGCAAGGCATTGTACGGGAATGGCAAAAAAATGCCCTTTGGCCCCAAATGTTTCAGACATGATGCCACAAGTCAAGGTAACAAAAAGGGTGGGGAAAATGAGAGGAAGGGCACATGTGCTGATAAGATCACCAGTAACTAACACAAAGTCTTTACTCAATGAGAGTACAGACATGGCTATTATAAGAAAAAGAGGGAAAAGTGACAAGAGCGAACACCAATGGGGAGAAAAGCAATTGCCAGGAAAAACTTACTAAAACCTTGCTAGCAACAAGTGGTTTTACTTTTAGTTGTTTTAACAACTAGAGATGTTAACTAGAGTGAAGGCATAAACAGAGGGGTAGCAAAGTTTGCAGATGATACAAAACTACTCAAGATAGCTTGAACCTAACTACTAAGAGTTACAAAATTTCACAAAACTGGGTAACTGGGTAAGAAAATGGCAGATGAAATTCAATGCAAAGTAATGCACAATAGAAAATATATTCCTAACTATACATACAAAATTATGTTAATAAAATTCGTAGTTACCACTCAACAAAGATCTTGGAGTCATTATGGATAGTTCTCTGAAAACAACTGCTCAATGTGCAGCAGCAGCAAATAAATAATAATAAAGGAAAGATACAGATAAGACGACATAATATTATCATAATGCCACTATATAAATCAGGGACAGGCAAAATATGGCTTTTGGGCCAGATTAAGTCCACCAAGCTGCCATATCATGAGCCTCACACAGGCTCTCTGTCTGCCTCAGCCCTACACGCCACTCAGAGAAGCCACGTGCTGTCTCTATCCCCCTCCCCCACACACATCTCACAACTCCCATTAGCTGGGAACCAGCCAATGGGAGCTGCTTGGGCCATGTTTGCAGGTGCAGTGTGTGAAGTAGCTCCCCTCAGCTCACAATGGTCCCCACAGCCGAACACTCTGAATGACATTGCGGGAGGGGGAGCAGATGAAGTGCCAGCCAGAAGCAATCTAGGTAAGCACCCTGCCTCTGGCACACTCTCTCTTACTACCCCCAGTCCTCTGTCCCCCCTCCTGTATCCCTACCACATGTAACTCAAAATTTCAGCACCCCTGCTCCTGTACCCATCCCCCCCCCAGACCCTGCACCTCAATCCCCTGCTCTAGGTCACAACCCTCTCCTGCCATAAGTCACAATCCCATTCCTGCCCCAGGTCACAACCCCCTCCTACATCCCCTCCTCCAGGTCAGAATACTCTCCTGCACCCATACCCCCTCCTCGACCCTGCATCCTATCCCCTACCCCAGGTCACAACAACCTTCTCCTACACCTCAATCCTCTGTTCCGGGTCACAACCTCTTTTTTCATCCAAACTCCCTCGCAAACCCCACACCCCCTCCTGCACCCCAATTCCCTACCTTGAGCCTCCATCTTCACCCAACTTCTATCCCAGACTCCACAGCTCTTCCATTAATAGCATGAAAGAGTGCAGTCCATGATCACTTATCAAATTCTTGAAGTGACTCCTCCCCCCATCAAAAAGTACTGCCCACCCAGATATAAATCCATGGTATGTCCACAGCTTGAATACTGGTCACCCCATCTGAAGAAGAAAAAAGGTGCTCTGGGCAGCTGCCCAATTAGGTCCAACCCTGTTCTAGTTAGTGGCAGGGGGAGGTTAAAGAAAGATAGATGGGGGAAATAAACAAAGAGAAACTGAGGGACAGGAAGAGAAAATGCAAATAAAAGACATTTATATGCTATTTCCTCTGCATCTCTTACACACGCACACAATTAACCCACAGCTTTTTCCTCTATTTGGAAGAAAGGAAGGAGATGGAAACAGAATGTCACTGACAAGATTCCTGCTTACTGTCAGGTGTGTAAACAAGTTAGGCAATTTAAGAAACTAGGTTAGACAATTTCCCTCTATTCTTTCATCCAACCTGCTACAAGAGCATTATTAATTCAAATTTACTAGGCAAAACACCATTTCACAGTTAAAGTAATCATTTTTTAAAAGGCAGCCATTTCCCATAGTAATGAGACTACAATATCTGAGAGAGCTATTTCCTGTCCTACAAGGGAATGATATCTATCACCTGTTATCGTATAGGATATTAACATCAATGTTTTTAAATGGCAGCTAGTGAATGAATTTTACAATGCATAACTTACAACATTCATAGTTGCTTCAGGATCCACATCTCTTATTCTTCTGATGAATGTTTCTGAACTTACAATTCCTTGGATCAAACATGCCACAATTATAAAGAGACACATCTTCATTCTGTAGAGAATACATTTATTTATTTTCTTACACAATTAAATGAGGCTTGGTTAAAACTACACAGTATAAGAGAAAGATTTATGCTGTAAAAGAATGTGAGATCCTGAGGTTGTTATATATGGCTTCTTCTACAGGAAAAATAAATAGATGGGATGGAGGGGGGAGGATATACAAAGAGTCTACTTTTCTCTAATATTTCTTTTCATGAAGATTTCAAATGGGTTTAAAATTGAAGTAAAATTTAATATCCTTTCCTTCCAAAAAACCAATGATGATGTAGCAGACCAGAAACAAAACACTTACAAGAGCACATCAATTTTAAACAAAGAATGGTGAAAACTTGGCCACCTGTATTAAGCTGTGTATGTGCCTCCCTAGATTTGCTCTTAAAAATAATTATGAAAATCCTAGTTTTCTCTTGCAAACTGGCCATAAAAGTGGAACCGGACGGCACTCACCCAAGGGTTCTAAAAGAACTCAAATGGGAAATTGCAGAACTGTTAACTGTGGTTTGTACTCTATCCTTTAAATTGGCTTCCGTACCTAATGACTAGATAGCTAACATGACACCAATATTTAAAAAGGGCTTTAGAGGTGATCCTGGCAATTACAGACTGGTAAGTCTAATGTCGGCACCGGGCAAATTAGTTGAAACAATAGTTAAGAATAAAAATGTTAGGCACATAGAAGAACATAATTTGTTGGGCAAAAGTCAACATGGTTTCTGTAAAGGGAAATCATGTCTTACTAATCTATTAAAGTTCTTTGAAGGGGTTAACAAACATGCAGACAAGGGGGATCCAGTAGATACAGTATACTTAGATTTTCAGAAAGCCTTTGACAAAGTCCTTCACCAAAGGCTCTTGTGTAAATTACATTGTCATGGAATAAGAGGAAAGGTCCTTTCATGGATTGAGAACTGGTTAAAAGACAGGAAACAAAGGGTAGGAATAAATGGTAAATTTTCAGAATGGAGAGGGGTAACTAGTGGTGTCCCCCAAGGGTCAGTCCTAGGACCAATCCTTTTCAACTTATTCATAAATGATCTGGAGAAAGGGGTAAGCAGTGAGGT